GTTGCTAGTTTATAAATTAGGATGCTCTGAAAGCATAAGGTAAGTGAGGAATGATGTGGACCACTGCAATGAACCAGAGTGCAAAAATCAGGTATAATGCCTTTAATAATCGGCTCAGCTGTGGGGCCCCTGGTGGCTGGGGGCCCTCTGCATGCGCCCTGTGTGTATGTGTGTGCGCACTGTGGCCTAGGGGAGCGGAGTAAGTGAAATATCGGGGCCTGATTATTGTGGGCTGCCGGCGGTTGCTAGGGCCGTGCTCCTGTTGCTAGGGGGACTAAATCATCTGGCATTATTTGATTTCTGTTCCAGATATGAAAGCGTTACCGTGGCGATTAAATGTCTCCCAGCGCTGAGCCGGGGGTAAAGAGAGAGGAGACAGATTGGTGAGGTGTGTGTGTGTGTGTGTGTGTGTGTGTGAGTGTGTGTGAGTGTGTGTGTGTGTGAGTGTGTGTGAGTGTGTGTGAGTAAGATGTGTATGTAAGATGTGTGTGTTTTGAATGTAATAAATGCGAGTGCACCTACAGACTGGTCGACCGAGACTCTTTTCTATCCATCGTTTTCAGCGAGAGGAAGAATGAAGACTGTGAATGTAAAGGTTAAAGAGGAGCCACTCTGCACAATCCACTTTTTGGAGCTTTCTCCTGTAATAATGTTCCCTCATCAAAAACAAACCTGAAGAGGTTTTAGATGTCATCTATGCATATTTGAATAATTGAGTGATCTCTCCTTGGCCCTATACAAACCTTCCTTACAGTTAGCAGTAAAGTTCTGTCCAAGGCTCCGCCCACAAGCCCATGGCTTCCACACAGCAATTCTCTATAAATACACAAAAACATGTTACAAAACAGCACAGAGGAGCTGTACAAACCTGCAGTGATGTGCAATCATTTGATTAGCAGGATACACACTGATTGTTTTGTGATAGTGCTCTGAAGGGAGAGTGTCTTAGTGTGGGGAGCAAGGGAAGACTGAGAGTGTCAAACTAAACTAAAACGTATAAAACATGTTAAAACATTGTTTCAAATTTTGAAAACAATAAAAGGCAACACAGTGATAGAATTGTACAGAACAGAACATGAACACGTCTCACAGAGACAGCTCCTCTAACACCTGAACACAAACAGGACAGAGGACAAGACTCTGTCCCCTGAAACATGCTCTGTGTGACAGTGTGTTCACTCTGGAGCTGCTCTTCACTGCACCTCCAGTGTGTGGAGCCCTGTCGACTTATTTATTTATTTATTTATTTATTTGAAACAGGGACAGCGCACAATAAACTGACTTCAAGCCAGTATATTTCCCACATTTCACTGGAACTGAAGTTTGGACCTGAGGATCTAGACAGAGTCCTCCTCCAGCCTGCAGATCAAGACACATCCAGTGTGTCTCATTCTCAGGTTAGGAACAGACCAGGCCTCATGTGAAGCTCAGAACCTTCAGAATTCCATCCATGAGCTGCAGAGGCTGCACTGGCACTGACTCATGAGAGTGTCACACTTCTGTGGGAACATCTGTAGATCACCATGTCACCTTGAATTGTTATGAACAAGCTCGATTATCTGAAGAATGTATTCAAATGTTTAATAAGTTTCAGTTTTGTTTTTGTCTCCACTCCCTTTGCTCTCCATGCTAAGTCACTCCTCCTTCTGAGTGACATCACAGCACATTCAGCTTGAATCGCACTAAAAAAACTACTGCATGATTTTGCATAATATTCCATCTTTAAAAGTACTTTTCTTATTTGTTTGTAGCCAGTTCAGTAAATGATCCCCAGGGTTCGAGTGTGGTTTTCTCCTGCTGCTGTGTCCAGGCTCATGTCTCACCTCAGCTCCTCAGGACACAGACACGTGAAGACGGGACTGTCCCATTTCTGTTTTTGTGCACTCACATACATTCTTGGACAATATTTACTTGTACTTCTACTTGAGTAATATTATTTTGAAGCACTAGTACTCTTACTTAAGAACAATTGTGGCTACTTTACACAGCGTAAGATCCCACGGACACACAGTGAGGGCACCTGACACACAGGGACATTTTCCAGCGTGTTTGTAGGGGTTGGCACTACAGGATTAGCAGCAAGAATCAGAGCTGATGGACACAAAAAGGACATTGTTATATTACTTACTGCAAACATCCAGTTCCATTCAGATTTTAATAATCAGCCATGTTCTCCCTTGTAGAGTTGAGAAGCCCCACTCTGGGCCCCTAGAGGACCCCTGGACCCCCCCTCCCTGAGCCCAGACACTGGGGAACACTGGCACATCTGGAAAGAGCGTTGGATGCGCTTGAGCGTCAGGAAGTTTTCACACTTCACGAGTCGTTAACCTGTGGACCTACAGGGGGCAGCGGGGGGGTCTGATGGACGTGGGAACAGGCAGAGGAAGAGCATCAGAGAGACAGGAGCACCCTGCACACGGTCTGCTCCTGTCGGTCTGCTCCTGTCTGTGCGGCTGCAGAGCTGAGGTTCCTAAGCCACACTGTAATTTCTGATGTATGTATACTGCAGTATACTACAGTATAGTAAAGTGTAGTACAGTGTAGTACAGTGTGTGTGTGTAGTGAGAGACAGTCGTGTTTGTGTTTGTGCTCTGACTCTTGTTGAAATGCACAGTGCTGCACACACATTTCAGGATCCTCCCAAGGTGAGTGAGGCCCCTGAGTGAGGCCCCTGAGTGAGGCCCCTGAGTGTGGATCCAGGCATAGATATAGTATAAATTGAATTCACAGAGGATGGCACAGAAGAAGAGGACTGTCAGGTGTCCACTGGAACAGCACAGAGGACACAGAGGACACAGAGGTGACAGAGGACAAAGAGGACACAGAGGACACAGGACACAGAGGACACAGAGGACACAGAGGTGACAGAGGACACAGGACACAGAGGTGACAGAGGACACAGGACACAGAGGTGACAGAGGACACAGTGGACACAGAGGTGACAGAGGACAAAGAGGACACAGTGAACACAGAGGTGACAGAGGACAAAGAGGACACAGAGGACACAGAGGTGACAGAGGACACAGAGGTGACAGAGGACACAGAGGACACAGAGGTGACAGAGGACACAGTGGACACAGAGGTGACAGAGGACAAAGAGGACACAGAGGACACAGAGGACACAGACACAGAGGACACAGAGGTGACAGAGGACAAAGAGGACACAGAGGACACAGAGGTGACAGAGGACACAGGACACAGAGGTGACAGAGGACACAGAGGACACAGAGGTGACAGAGGACAAAGAGGACACAGAGGACACAGAGGTGACAGAGGACACAGGACACAGAGGACACAGAGTCAGGGGTTGGTGGATTGTGGTGTTGTGGTGACACTTTATGAGTGTGGTGGTGTTTGTGAGTGTTAGTGGTGGAGAAGCTGATGGCACAGATTGGCAACCTCAGCCTCAGTCTGCCCCAGGGCAGCTGTGGCTGCTGTAGAAGCTCACCACCAATGAATGAAGAATGAAGTGTGACAGGACTGTGAGCGTGTGACTGGTCACTGTTCCTCATATGTGCTTCACTGTAGTGACCCCTGCACACGACCAGTGTGCACCAGAGGTCACACACACTCACTGTGTGTGGACACACCCACCTCAGAAGCGTGTGTATTGTGTGTATGTGTGTGTGTACGTGCCGCTCCTCCGGGTCTTCCCCGGTGCTGCTGTGCTCTCTGCCGCCTCTCAGCTGTCTCTGGGCGGTGTCTCTGGGGAGCTCTCGCGGGGGACTGGGGGGTGGAGCAGAGTGGAGGTGCTAAATTAGCTGCTGATCCGCGCTCAGTGCGCACGCACGGATCTCATTACCGCGTCTGCCGCTTAATATTCGAGGCATGGCTGCGCGCGCGCGCCTCAGATTTATCAAATGGGAAAATGAATGTGTGATGATGAGCGCGATTGAAAGCGGCGCCGCTGACAGCGCTGACGCCGCGCTAATTAGGAAGAAAAATGATGGCGTCCGCTGCATAATAGAGCAAAAACAATTTGCACTGGCCCCGCGCGCACGCAGCGTGCACGCCCACGTTTAACTCACAGGAAACGCGTTTAATGACGCTCGCGCTCACATATGTCAGGGGCGCGCATCGTGGGGTCACGGAGTGGACAGCGGCTGGGTCACGTGCTCCTCTGCCCTGGGCTTCACGTGCGTCTGAAGAGTGTTTCCCATCGTGCACCTCTGTTTGTATTTGTCTGTTTACTCACTGTTAATGGAGGCTTTACGGACGCGCGCGCGCATCTGCCGTCACGTGCCCCGTTTAAACTGTTCCTCAGAGATAGCGCGGGGCCCCTGAGCCCGTCCCCGGGGCCCCTCCGTCAGAGCAGCTGACGGGCGCGCGCCTGTCCCATTATGTGAACACATGATCAACGGCGCGATACCGCGCGACATCAGTACGAGGCGCGGAACAACGCGCGGAACAACGCGAGGAACAACGCGAGGAACAATGCGAGGAACAATGCGCGCTATCAGCGCATCTGTCTCAATAGAGAAGATTGTGCGCGCTCACGCACGCGCGCCGCTGCCGCGCCTTTTATTCGTCCATTTCAATGTGACACGCGCCTTTCATGCTAATTCTATTATTCTCGACTTTATGTGATCTCATATCAGCCACGTGCTGCGGAATAACGGGCCAGAGGCGCGGAGGCCGCTGGGAAAATAATCACTTTAATATCAGACCGTGACAGGACCGCGGCCCCGAGACACTCAGACATCTGTACAGCAATACACACGGGCCCCGGGCCCCACAGAGCCACCATCAGTAACAACAAGTTTATTATCAAAATGAGCACATATAAATATCTCTCATGTACAATCTCTGAGGATTCTCTGGTCCCAAAACAACCTGCTTAAAGGGCTCCTCTCACCGGGCCCCCAGGGGCCCAGGAGAGTCCAGAAAGAGCATTAGGACTGGTTCTGTTTCCAACCAGAACCAGCCAGAAAGTGTCCCTTGGGGGCCACAATCTGGTCCTGAGAGCATGACTTTGGAATGTAGAGAAGAGAGGTCTGTGTTCAGTCCAGGGCCCCTGGTGCTTCTGTGATGCAGGTGTCTGCAGGGCCACAGTGAAGGTCCGGAGTGAGGGATTTGGGGGCCCTAGGACTATGGCCCCTGTCACTGTCTCTTCTGTGGTCCTCACTGTGGCCCTCATCTCTATTAGTCTCTGCCCTCTGCTCCTCCACTGAGGGCCCCCCCTCCATGGAGTGCTCCTCCATGGGGCCCTCCGCTGTGGGGCCGTCCTCTGAAGCACCACCCTGTGCTGGCTCTGTCTCCATGTGTGGTGGGCTGGGGGCAACTGGAAGGGAGAGGTTGGAGTTAGGTCTGTCCAGGTCCCCAAGGGCCCTCAGTGCGGTCTGAGGCACCAGAAAGCCCAGGGGCTGGTGTGTGATGGGGTAGAGTAGGAAGTGTCCCTTGCCCAGCAGTGTGGTGGGCCCCTGGGCCCTGCGGCGCGGGGAATCAGACAGCAGGCTCTCCACACTGAAAGGGTTGTGTTTGTGCAGGGGCCTTGGCTCGAGGCCCTGGCTGTGTATGCTGTGAGGGGAGGCTGGTTCCTGGGGGCCTCTCGGTTTCTGCAGTGGACTAAGTTGACCGGACTCACTGGCCTTGGGGTCGGGGAGCTTGATGTGTAGGGGCCCCTGCTGCTCCGTGTCAGTGAACTGGGACACTCCACTGTCACTCTCGGAGCCGCCCGGAGTGTGCAGATCTACGGGGCCCCTGGAGCCCTTGAGCAGTTTGCGCTCCTGTTTGCGTCTTTTCTTGTCGGCACGCTCTCTCTCTCTGCGGGCGATCTCCTCGGGGCCCATGGGCTCCCCGCTGCAGGTGGTGGGGTGAGAGTTATGTGCCGGGCGCCCGGGGCCCTTCTTTGTGTTCTCCTTTTTCCTCCATTTGGCCCTTCGGTTCTGGAACCACACCTGAGGGCCACACACACGTTATCAACATGTACTGTAATACTTACAACATTAGTACTACTCTACTGGAAGAAACATAGAGTACTGTAGTACTGTAGTACTACAGTGTAGTGCGCGGTAGTACAGTAGTACAGAAGTACAGTAGTATAGTAGAAGAGTAGTAGTAGTAGTAGTATTTGTAGTAGTAGTAGTAGTAGTAGTAGTAGTAGTAGTAGTAGTAGTAGTAGTAGTAGTAGTAGTAGTAGTAGTAGTAGTAGTAGTAGTAGTAGTAGTAGTAGTAGTAGTAGTAGTAGTAGTAGTAGTAGTAGTAGTAGTAGATGTAGTAGTAGTAGTAGTAGTAGTAGTAGTAGTAGTAGTAGTAGTAGTAGTAGTAGTAGTAGTAGTAGTAGTAGTAGTAGTAAGTAGTAGTAGTAGTAGTAGTAGTAAGTAGTAGTAGTAGTAGTAGTAGTAGTAGTAGTAGTAGTAGTAGTAGTAGTAGTAGTAGTAGTAGTAGTAGTAGTAGTAGTAGTAGTAGTAGTAGTAGTAGTAGTAGTAGTAGTAGTAGTAGTAGTAGTAGTAGTAGTAGTACCTGTACTCGTGACTCGACCAAGTCGAGCCTGAGGGCCAGGGCCTCTCTCATGAACACGTCGGGGTAGTGGCTCTGGGTGAAGGCCTTCTCCAGCTCCTCTAGCTGCCAGCCCGTGAAGTTAGTGCGAGTGCGCCGCCGCTTACAGCCTGGGCTCTCCTCCTTGTCCTCGCCCACCTCTGCACACAGCACAAGTACACGCAAAAAAGTACTTTTAAATACACCAGCAGTACCTTTTAAATACACCAGCAGTACTTTTAAATACACCAGGCCCAGCACAGCTACTGAAATACACATAAACACACAGTATAAACACACTGGGGACATTACACACACCTCACCCGAAACCCTAACCCTAACACACTACTCTAATACACACCACACTAACACACACTACTCTAACACACACCACACTAACACACACTACTCTAACACACACCCTAAACACACTCTAAACACACACACACATGTGGACCTGACGACACACTGAGTGCAGGATTTGTCTTTTTGCTTTTTGCTTTGGTCCAGAGAACATCTTTAAACTGTACGACATCTGACATTGTGTGTCTTCACGCACACATGACGGCTTCTTTATACGTGCTGGACTATGTGTGTGTGATTAATCAGCAGCAGTCCTCACACACACACACACACACACACACACACACACACACACACACACACACACACACACACACACACTGAGTTAAGAGAAGCCGGGGAGCAGGGTACAGGAGGAGGTGCAGGTCAGTGGCACACGTCTGCTCTCCTGCCCTCTGCCCTCACACTCACACTCAGCTCATGAGGGAGCTCCACACGCACAACTGTCCTGACCCGTGTCTCCACTGATGCCACATGAACTTTATAAAGTCACATTTAAATATTTATATTTATTTAGAACATATTTCTATACAGAGTGATCCCACATTAATCCACACATCTTCTGGTGTATTGGTGTTTAGGGTTGTAACATGTCCACACTGCAGCTTGTGGCAGGTTCGTCAGAAGTATACAAAATCAGATCCTAACCAATACTCAAACTAGTATCGAAACTCAATACTCATTTGTGCAGGTATCAATACTAAAGGAGTCACACTGACAGTGTTATGTGTAAGAGCACATGGACCACTGAGGGATTTAAACACAACAGAACAACAGAAAAGAAAGTACTATGATCTGCTGTTGAAACTCACATTCTATTGTCTAAATACAGTTTTGTTTTAGTTTTTTTTTTGTTGTTGTTGTTTTTAAATTATCATTGTGACATCAGAATCAGTATCGAGTATCGTGTCTGTTCCTTAGTATCTCTGGCAGTTCACAGCTGCTGTGAGTCCAGGGACACACGGCCTCTACACATGAACATTCTTCTAATTCACTGGTTTTCACTGGTTTCCATGAGTTTCACAATGATGAAGAATTGAGACAATTGCCATAGAAATTAACAATTCTAAACGATTAAATATAATAATAAAAATTTTAATATTTCAACTGAGTAACATTACATAAATAATACAATTCATAACATTTATTTTACCAATAAATTTACCAAAATATATTTAAACATATACAATAATTAAAGCTCTACAAATCTGTTAGCTGTTTGATGGCAACGCTTAAATGTGCTGTAACTCTCAATAAAATTATATATATATATATATATATATATATATATATATATATATATATATATATATATATATATATATATTATATATATATATATTTAAATGACATATTAGAATTTCATAACTCGTACATATTTTAAGAAAAAAATGTGAATTCTAATAGAAAGGCTGAATTCATGAGTTGCAGTGTTTTCTTTTGGCTCATACATCTAAATATGATCATTTCAAATCTTTTGTCATTTCACTATAATCTATCATTTCATAGAACAAATATTACATTTTTTTGTAACTAATTTGTATTCAAATTTGCAACTCAGAATTGTATTTTCATTTTGATCTTTATAGCTTTATGCACTATCTGTTCTAATTTGGAGATTCAGTTGTGTGTAGGTCTGTCTAAATATTTTCCTCAAACTAAAAATATGGGAGTCATATTTTGGGAGCGGAGAGCACCCAAGGGAGCGTCCTACAGTGGCCAAATTTTTTATTCATATTTCAGATTTATGACCGTCAGGCCTAAAGCTCAGGAGAGCTCAGAGAGAGGACTGGAGCCTTCAGCTTTAGTGCAAAGTTGAGCGGATAATAATAATAATAACACTAATAATAATAATGATAGAAATACATGCAGAAATGTACACACATCTTATGGTTTTGTTTCGTATAAAATATTAAATAATTATTGTGACTTAAAAAAAAAATCTGACATTTTAGTTTAAACCAAAAATGAGATTTTAATCACGTTTTCTTGTGCTGGAAAGGCCTGTGTGTTCTCTTTTTCTGCTCTACGGTACTGGATGTGAGCAGACCGAGCACAACCGCACAGTCTGAGTAAAACAAGAGGAGAGGTTTAGAAGGTTGGAGCAGCGCGAGGTGCTCTGGTGCTTCTGGACACGGTTTGAGAACAGGGAACAGATACGTGTGGCACTTATGGCCTTTTGGTTTACAATACAACGGGATTTTATGAGGAAATAAAATCTGTGTTTTTATAACTAACAGGCTCTTGACCAATTTCCCAGAGCGGACAAAAGGACGCGCGGCTTTGGCTCTGTTCTCCAACTTCATTTTAGCACTTTAAAACTGCGCGTAAAACTCACTTTTCACCACCGAAAACACAAGTGACGCATCCCGCGTGGAGCCGCGGTGAAGTGCGCGTGTGTCCGTGCCCGTAGTGTCCGTGCGTAAAGGCGGACCTACCTGAGAAGGAGAAGCGCTGTGAATCCGACAGCAGCGTCCCGGAGCCCAGCACCGCGGCGGAGCACGAGCCGCTCAGTAATCCGTCTATGGAGAAGGGCAGCGCGGCCGCGGACTGCAGCGGCCCGCCGCTCAGCTCGTACACCGGCGGCTGCTGCGGGAGAGGACGCGGGCCCAGCGGGTACGGGAAGCCCACCAGCCCGCCCAGGGAGCCTCCAAACGGGGCGTGAGGATGCTCGAGGACCCGGCTGTCCATAGTGCCCGGGCTGCGGCAGTGTGCGCGCGGTGTCTGGACATGCAGAGTCCCGGTAGAGACCGCGTGAGTACGGGGTCCTGTGAGCCACAGTCCGGTTCACTGACGCGTGTACAGTCCGACACGAGCGCTCCGTGTGCGGGGAGCCGTGCGCTTTGCTCCGGTACAGGTGCTCCGGTGCGCGCGCCTCGGTCCCGGGAACTGAGTGAGTTTGCTCCAACTGCGCACGAGGACCCCTCCTCGCGCTCCTCCACGCGCGGGACCAATAAGAGGCGTTAATGTGCGTGTGACGTCAT